TCCTCAATACCCACCACCAGGCTAACCCATCCTCCCACCCCTCCCCTCTAGAACCCTCAGTTTGTTTTTCAGAGTCCATCGTCTCTCATGGTTCGAAAGACACAGCACTTTTAATTCTGGCAAAGCTATGAGTTGTTCAGGGATGTTCTGAGACAGGGATGTAGAGAAGGATCAGCTAGGCTTTGCCAAGTGAGGAGGGGAGACACTATCACTCTCTTCAACTCTGCTTTTCCTTAATAAAACTGCTATTCCTTTATTTATAAAGAAGCATCAGTGTTTGACTACATGTTTCTGACATCAGGGGATAATAAAGCTTAGAGCAAAATATGAAGAAATAGCAACCTTAAAAATGATGACAAAATAATTTTTAATCAAGCCATGGTTCTGAGATCATTGCACGGAAAATATGTGTGATGCTTATTAAAAGTTTAAAGGCTGGGCACCTGGGTGGTTCAGTCGGTTAAGCGACTGCCTTCAGCTCAGGTCATGATATCAGGGTCCTGGGATCTAGTCCCACATCGGGCTCCCTGCTCAGTGGGGAGGTGGCTTCTCCCTCTGCCCCTCACCTCGCTTGTGCTCTTGTGCATGCTCTCTCTCTTGCTTACTTGCTCTCAAATAAATAAATAAAATCTTTAAAAAAATGTTCAAAGGCTGAGGCTCCTCCCAGTTTCACAGAGGTGAGCCCTGGGAACCTAAAGCCCAACGATTCCTCGGGTGATACTTATGCTTATTGTCACTAATGTTTGAGAATCAGTGGTTTGGGTCTTATTAAAGGCTTGTAATTGGGCACCTGGGTGGTGCAGTCGGTGAAATGTCCAACTCTTGGTTTCAGCTCAGGTCATGATCTTAGGGTGATGAGATCAAGCCCCGTACTGGGCTCTGCTCTCAGCAGGGAGTCTGCTTGGGATTCTCTCTCCCTGTCCTTCTGCCCCTCCCCACTGCTCGCTCTCTCTCTCTCAAATAAGTAAATAAATCTTTAATAAAAAAAATAAAGGTTTGTAATTACATACCAGGGAAAGGAGGGTCAAAACTATAGTCCATTAATCATGGACCTGCGGACTTCACAAAGCTGGGTTCCCAAAGGCCCTAAACCACTAATTCTCCCAGTGTGGTCTCCAGATCACCAGCATCAGCATCATGGAAAGCTTAACAAGGCCCACCCAGAACCACTGAATCAGAAACTCTGGAAATAAGACCCAAAATCTATGCTTTCACAAACCTTCTAGATGATTTTGACACATACTAAGGTTTACAAACCATTGCCCAACCCCCCCCACCAAAAAAAAAAAAAAAAAAGGCCACAGATTCACAGATTTCCTCATCCTCCACTTACTAATGAGCTATGTCACTACTATATTCATATGTTGCCCCTGCCAGAGAATATAATTGAATTTTTAAAAGGAAGAGCACAGACATAAATCAGCAAACTGACCCAGAACTGATGTTTAAGATCAAAAGTTTTATGGTGCTACTTCCAAAATCTGGACGTTTTGCCTCTAGCACTGTAGGGATTGATATGGAAACTGCACCCTGACATTAATTACCTGCTTATAATTTATTATAAAGTAAATGCAATAGCTTCCCCAAGACTTCAGTGTTCATTGTTCCAAGGGAAATCTTCATTGTATTCCAGAAAAAAATTATTTTCTCATTCTGATAATAAAGTCTGTATTGGAACCCCAGAGTTCTAAACTACCAGACCCCAAGTATGCATTCCTATATTTCTAGAAGATAAAGAAATGGAGGGAACGGAATGATTCCTGGAGACTTTGCCAATATCCATGCCTCTTTTCCTTCACACCCCAGAAGAGGCTTTTGGCAACCATACTTCTAAATCCATTCCTCTCCTTGATCCTCAAAGACTAATATTATCACTGGACACAGAGGTCTGAACTCATGAATGGAGGTGCTTCTACTAGCTACTACTAAAAAATAATTTTTTACCTCTTTTTTAAATTTAAATTCAATTAGCCAAGGTATAGAACATCATATAATGTTCAATGATT